TGTTGTGGTCCAACAGAATTAAAGAATGTTCGATTTGTTAAGAAAATCCAGTTTATTTAATTCTATATAAAAATAGTAGCGTGTTCTCTAGCAAAGTACGTAGACAAAAAGTAAAGTAAAAAAGGTAAGTGAAATAACTACAAGGTGACCCGATGTCAGTGCTGCCACCTAGCTGAAATTGAATGAGAACATGGTTGCATTCAATAAGTCTGCAATCTCCGCAACATCTCTCCTTGTTAAGAAACGTCATAGTCACGCATCCATGTCGGCTTCTTCTTTATTCGGCCCGGTCTCGCTTCGCTTGCCGTTTGCATCTCCAACGCATTTCGGGTAGGAGATCTATCGGGAACAGCTGGATCTTCTACTGCGACCCGCTCGCGATCGTCCTGTAACTGTACTGGAACCTCAAGTCGGTCATGCGTTTCTGACGATTCTGGAGGTTGCCGTGTGTCGCCATTATCTACCGCTTGTTGCCGGTGCTGTGGTACTTGGTAGAGATCGAAACTGTCACATAAGAACTTTGTAACCTCCGTTGACGGTGATCCCTTGTCAGCAAGTCGTCTTTTCAACTGATTTATATGCGCTCGAATTAGTCTTTGATTTACAGAGAGTAAAACGTTGTAGTTTACGCCGCCAATTCTCTCGATAATGGTGCCTGGGGCCCAGCGCTTTCTGTTATTCTTATATGTTCTAACATACACCAAATCCCCTGCTGCCAGGTGTCTTGGCTTCGCACCGTGCTTCGTATTAAATTGTTGCTCTTGCTTTGCGTTTCTTTGCGGTTGATGCTGCAATTCCGGTGGGTTTAACAAGTTCAATGATGTTTTAATTTTCCTTTTTAAGAATGCTTCTGCTGGTGTTTCACCATTTGGTACATTCGGGGTTGGAGTGGACCTGTACGTTTGTAGAAATGTTTGTAAGTTCTCTACACTCGTTCCTTCGCTTTTAAGCTTAGTTAACGCCCTCTTTAGAGTATCCACGAACCGTTCTGCCTGTCCGTTGGATTGTGGGTGATATGGCGCTGTTCTGACGTGATTCACTCCTCGCATCTTCACAAATTGTTGGAATTGTGCGCTCACAAATTGTGTTCCATTGTCAGATACGATGGTGTCACAGTTCCCATACCTTGCAAATGTCTCATCCAATTTTTCAATAATCACTGATGAGGTTATGCTAGCGGTTTGAAAAATCTCTGGCCATTTAGAGTAGGCATCAATTATCACGAAGTAGTAGTCTCCATTACAAGGTCCAGCGATATCTACGTGCAACCGCTCCATAGGCCTTGTTGCTAGCGGCCATGAGTGAAGTGTAGATTTTATAGGCGATTTTGCTGCCATCGCACATGGTTGACAATTTCGTACGAACGACACGATTTCTTCGTCTATGCCAGGCCAAAAAACATGCCCTCTCGCTATAGATTTCATCCTCTCCTTCCCAGGGTGTCCCCGATGTAATTGGCATAAAACGCGTTTTCGCAGACAATCTGGGATAATAATCCGCTCTCCGAAAAGTAGACATCCTCTCACTGCACTCAAAGAATCTTTGCGTCTATGATAAGGAAGTAGATCGTATGGCACATTCGCTGGCCATCCAGACTTCAATGCTTTCAGAACTTCTTGTAGTTGCTTGCATTTGCTTGTAGCTTGTAGTACCATACTAAACGTGACTGGAAGTTTCCTGATTTGGTCGTTGACTTCGGCCAATATCTCTTGTTCCAGTTGCGTGCATGCTATGACCATATCTTCATGCTCATTTTTATCCATCAGCCTGGATAGAGTATCCACGCACCCAAAATTTTTCGTATTGACGTATTGTAGTTCATAATCATACCGCATGAGGATAAGTGCCCACCTCTGTAGTCTATTTGCAGTATGTGCGGGAATACCCTTTTTACTACCAAAGATGGATAGTAGTGGCTTGTGATCTGTCCACAATATGAATCTTCGTCCGAAAATATATCTATGAAACTTTTTTACTGCAAATATCAACGCTAGCGCCTCCTTCTCAATCTGAGAATATTTCTGCTCGGTTGAACTTAATGTACATGCTGCGTGCGCAATAACTTTTTCGGTACTATCTGGCATGATGTGACAAATGAAAGCTCCAATGCCTTTGCTCGACGCATCTGCTGCCACTTTTATGGGAAGATCCGGATTATAATGCGTGAGCAGTAAGTCGGACTGCAAAATGCTTTTGAACTTCTCGAAAGCTTGTTGACATTGCGATGTCCATACAAAGTTCACATTATCATGAAGTAGTGCGTCCAGAGGTGCCCTCAGACTGCTCATGCTGCGAACGAATTTCCCGTAATAATTTACGCTACCCAAAAATGCTCGTAGTTCTGAAATGTTTGTAGGCGGTGGCATTTTCAGTATTGCGCTGATTTTGTCTGGATCTGGACGTAGTCCACTCTGTGACACAATATTGCCCAAATATTTAACCTCCGCCGCGAAAAATTTACATTTTTCCAACTTTACGTGGAAGTTGTACTCTCTTAGTCTTTGCAAGACCTTGAATAAATTTTGTAGATGGTTTTCCCATGTAGAGCCCCCAACGATTATATCATCTATATACGCTGCAGTAGCATCTATGTTCGCTAACATAGTATCCATTATTTGTTGGAACGCACCTGGTGCGCTTTTAACCCCTGGTGCAAGTCGGTTGAATGTGAATAAACCCTTATGCGTATTTATAGTTAGCAGCTTCGCTGCCTCCGGCGTGACTGCCGTCTGTAAATATGCATCTGCCAAATCTATATGCGAAAAACAATGACTGTTGGCAATTTTAGCATATATATCTTCCGCCGTAGGTAGTGGATACTGATGTGGTTGTAGTGCTGAATTTAACCCAGATGAGTAGTCACCACAGATTCGTACTCCGCCTGTTGCTTTTCTAACGGCTACAATCGGCGCTGCCCAGTCGGAAAATTCTACTGGTGTTATGATTCCAAGGTTCTCGAGTCTATTCAATTCTGTTTCTATTAGAGATTGTACAGCGTACGCCACTGGTCGTTTCGCCCGAAAAATCGGTTGTACATTTGGTTTCAAATGTAGCTGAACAACTGCCTTGCTGCATTTGGCCGGAACAGCGCTAAAAATATCTGCATATCTTCCCTTAATGTCCGTTAAAGCTGCAGCTTCAATGGCCGGTATTGATTGCTTGATTTGACAACATACACTACTCAGCGGCTTGTCCCATACACCAAAAGTGTCAAGGGCATCTGTACCTAGAACATTCAAAGAATCAAACTCTGCTACAAGAATCTTTATTGGTTTTACTTCCCCGTTAAGCTGAAGTTCACAAGGGAATTCAGCTATGAAGCGAATTTTATTCCTCGATGCACTCGTGGCGTGACTGTTAATTAACTTGACTCCTGGACTGCCCAATTTACGCCAATTCTCTTTGACAATTATCGTCACATCGGAAGCGGTATCAACCTGTAGCTTGAAGCTTTTTCCTTCCCCGCCAGCTGCTGCTGACGTTATCGGTTTGATAACCACCTCGACATATTTCCGGCGTGCGGCGAAATTTACGCAATTTACCTGCACTGCGTTGCTTTTCGGTCGCTGTTGGGTTTGTGTTTTACCGCTCTGGAATGCTCCTTTCTGCGGTTTTTTTCTCTGCGCGTTGCAATAACCCTCTTTATGACCTGTTCGACTGCACTGCGTGCATTTGTGATTTTTGAATTCGCAATTTTCTGCGTAGTGCATTGCTCCGCAATTCCAGCATGGAGATTTTGGAACTTTATTCTGCTTCAATTTTACACCCGATTCAACCTTCTTATTTCTGGTAGTCTGCGTCCTAATAGCATTTACGATTTTATTTGGCTGTTCGACCATCACCGTGTCTTTTTTCAGATTTAACAAACGGCCTGCCGTGCTGACTAGCTTACTCAACTTCTGATCTGAATCGTCTTCTAGACCAGCTAACAGTTTTGTGCGGATCTCAGCATCATGCTTGCCTTTTAAGCCAATTACAAAAATTAAGCTCTTTAGATGGTCAGCTGTCATGTCTGCAAGCTTAGAATTTTCACAGCATGCATTTACTCGTGCCGCATATGTTACAATATCTTCTTGGTCTTCTTTTGTCAATTGCAAACATTTGTATCTGAGGCTGAAAATCGACTCCTTCGATCCGAACATCTCCTTCAGGGTTTTCACTGTTTCAGTGAATGATAGGTCTCTTGGGTTTTTTGGTAACACATACGTTGCGTACTTCCCGTATGCTACAGGGTTGAGCTTCCTCATTAACAATCGAACCCGTGCTGGATCATCCAAGTCTTTGCCATCCACGATGAACACATCTTCGTGCCGTGCATACCACACATCGAACGTTAGGTTATTTTGCGGGTCGTAACAAAAATCAACAATACGACTAGCCAAATTCTCCATTAGGCTTCCTCGACCTTTTGCGCTGTCTTCAGTGAGCATTGCAAGCAATTTGCTTTGTATTTCCAATAGCTCTTGGATTTTTGCGTCTGCCATTGCAATGACTTGCCAATATGCATTCGGCTTTTAACAAAATGGCGGCGTCGAATGCTCTCGTCGCCAAACTCGAAATTTTTTCTTGGTGTGGACTGCCTTGTCAAAAGACAGAGGAGGTAATTATTTTATTTGCAAGTATCCTTGCAACCTGCACACTCCGAATCCTCGTCGCCAATTTCTGTTGTGGTCCAACAGAATTAAAGAATGTTCGATTTGTTAAGAAAAT